ATGAGGTTGTTTTCGTAATCTCATTTTCAGACATTTGTTTCTTTTTCTTTGCTTTTCAGTAGTTCAATTAGGATTTGTTTGGGTTTATTCTCTTTAGGATTTACTTAGCTTCTTGAATCATAGGTTTTTCTCTTTGCCTAACTTGGAACATTTTTCAGTCTTTTGCTTCCTGAAGTGTTTTTCACCACCCTCCTCTTTCTCTTTTCCTTCTTGGGACTCCAGTGACCTGAATGTCAGACCTTTTGTCGGTGTCCCCCAAACACTGAAGATCTGTTCAAGAAAAAAATAAATAACAAGTGTTTTCTCACTTTGTAATTCAGATTGAATAAGGCTCCACGGACCCGTCTTCAAGGTTGCTGACTCTTCCCTTTCTGCTATTGTCCGTGTGGTGAGGGTTTTTTCCTCACTTTATCTTTCGGTTCTAAAATTTCAACCTGGGTTTTCTTTGTCTCTTCTATTTCTTTTATGCAAAGTTCTGTTTTAACAGTCGTTGAAGGCATGCGTAAGAACTCCTTTAACGTGTCTGTCAGGTGTTTCCAACACCTATGCCGTTTCGGATTGGCATCTGTGGTTGTCTTTTCCCGTGTGAACCGAAATGTTTGTGCTTTTCGTACGCTGAAGAATTTGTTCTGGTATCCTGGGCTTAGGGGATCCTGGGTTTTGTTTCCAAACTGTGAGGATGGCGCCTTTTCTTTTGTCAGGCCGCCCACCTGGACAGAGTCAGGCTGAGCTCCGCCTGCCTCCTGGGGCCGTGCTTCCAAAGTCCGTTGAGCTCTCAAAGCCTGATGTCCCAGATGGCAGCCTGTGACCTGGGCGGGCCTGTCCTGTCCCCACAGTGTGTGGTGTGCTCCTGAGGAACAGCTCCACGGGGCCTGGGTGGGGCTGCGCCCTGCAGCTCAAACACCGCCTCACGCCTCGCCTCACCGGGCGACTTTTCTGAGCTTCTCTCTTGGTTCTTTATTTCCGTGCGTCTCTCTCCCCTCCCCCCTCTGAGCCTCTGGGCAGAAACGGGCCTCTGGCTACCCCGCTGTGCCACGAACTTGGCCGGACCTGGGCTGTTTGGGGCGAACTCAGGCCGATGAAGGGGACAGTGGAGAAGACAGCCCTGGGAGTTGGCCCCACCCTCGCCGTGTCACAGCTGCTCTGGGCAGAGGACGTTTTCCTTCCTGAGAACATTGCCCCGGTGCCACGCCCAGCTCTGGACCCGCTGCCGCCAGTGCTGCTGCAGAATTGCCGGGCCCGGAGACGACGAGCCGACGGGCCGACGGAGGGAACGAGAATCCGAGGAGCATCGGGGGCTCCCCTTCCGTTCCTCGTTCCTATCCCCGGAAGAAAAGGTTTCTCCTTTCCCGTCCCCTCTCTCTGTCCGCTTTCTGGCAAAGGCGAGCTCCGGGCTGGCTCGGCAGGACTCCAGACTCTGGTGTTTTCCGGGCCCCCTCAGGCCGCTCACGACCTTGACCCGAGGCGCCTGCTTCCGCCGACTCCAGCGCGTCTGTCGTCCCTCCGTGGGTCCGGCGGCGGTGGGGGAGGGCGTGTTCCGCCTCACTTCCCGGGTGAACTGCACCGTGAGCTGCAGTTGGGCCCCCTCCGCTTGCACAAGGCCTTTTGGCAGCTCCCCGGGGTGCCTTCTCCCAGCCCACCCCCCTCCTGGTTGCTCTAGCCCGGTTCCCATTTACTTGAGAAAAGCACCTGCCTCCGCAGGCTTCTCTCCCCCCCCCCCCCCCCCCGCCTCCGTGGACGCCCCTCCCCCACCTTCGTTAACTGTGGGTGGAGCCTGCTTTCTATTGATTTATCTCAAAGCATTTTTAAATTTCCCTTGTAATTTCTTTTTGTTTAGAGCTGCAGCTTAGTTTCCACATAGTTTTTGAATTTTCCAGATTCCCTCTCCAAGCTACTGATTTCTGATTTTCATCTATTGTGGTTGGAGAACATACTTTGTATTATTCGCCTTTTAAAATTTTCTGAGGTTTTTTCACGACATACGGTCTTTCCCGAAAGTTCCTCGCCTGCACCTGAGGACAGGTCCTTATGGGCGGGCGGGCGGGCGGCCGGGCCGGTGGGATCACTGCTGGTTCGAGTATGCCAGTGCACAGTCTCCTCGGTGGGTCTCCGGTGCTTGTCGCATCTCTCCGAGGGCTGGCCCCAGCGCATATGCCTTCTCCACCCGACGGTTTGCCATTCCCCTCCGTGGAGGGTGAATTTAGTTGAGCCATAATTAGGAAGATAAGGCCTGCCACCCTGTCCCTTTAACCGAGAGTTCTTACCCACCTGCACTTAAATTACTGATTGGGCGCTTGGGTGGCGACGGTTGCTGTCCCACTTCAGCCAGGTCATGATCTGCCAACCGCGGAGTTCAGCCCCTCGTGGTCAGGGTTTTGGCTGACGGGCTCAGAGCCTGGAGCCCACTCGGCCTCTGTGTCTCCCTCTCTCGCCTGCCCCTCCCTGCTCATGCTCTGCTCTCTGTCCCAAAAATAAATAAACGTTGAAAAAAAAAATTACTGACAAACCTTCCAACATTCTTGCTGTTTTCGGTCACAGTTTTGTTCCTCACTTCCTCTACTGCTGCCGTCTTTTTTGTTCTAGGCATTTTCTGGTACTCCATTTACTGTTCATTTTACTGTAATTTTGAGCTATTAAAAAAAAAGGTTGAGGGGCATCTGGCCGGTTCATCAGTTATGGCGAAAACCAGTGGGTTTTTTTATTTCTTCCTGCGGATTCAAGTTACTATTCGGTGTTTCCTGATCGAGCCTGAAGGACACTTTTCAGTATTTCTGAAGGGCGGGTGGCCTGGCGGTGAATTCTGGCTTTGTTCATCCGGAAATGTCCTGATTTCTCCGTTTCCTGGAAGGGGTCGCTCACCGCCATCGTCGTCTTTGAGCAGTTTGGGCCGTGTTCCCTCCTGCATCTCAAAGGGCATCTCTTGCCACTTTCGAGATTGTCTTCTTTTCTGTAGCTTTTGACAGTTAGATGATGACGCGTCTACGTGTGGATCTCTTGGGTTTACTCGGAGTTCGTTGAGCTTCTTGGATACAGGTTACTGTTTTTTGTCAAATTTGAGGAATTTGGGCCATCGTGTCTTCGGATATGCCTTCTGCCCGTTTCTGCTCTTCTAGGAGCTCCCAGTGCACACGGACGCACCCGAGAGCACCCAGCAGGTCTCTGAGACTCTGTTCAGTTTTTGTTTTCTCACTCTTTTTTCTTGCAGTTACGCCAGCTAAGCCAGCCGGGGGCACCTGGCTGGCTCAGGTGGTAGGGCATGTAACCCCTGATCTTGGGGTCGCGAGTTCGAGCCCCACTTTGCATGCAGATAGACATATAAATATATAAACAAGACCAACTTACTTCACCTGTCTTCAAGTTTGTGGATCCTTCCCCCGACTCAAATTCGGTTGTGGCGCTTTTCAACAATTTTCATCTTAAAAAGATTCTTTATCTGTATTCTCTGTTTTGTGAGTGGCATTCTCTGACTCCTGTCATGTTAATTCTTTAGACACGACTTCTCTTCGTTATTTGAACGTGATTTCTAAAAGCTGGATCTTGAGCCTTTGCCAAGGGCATCGGGGTCCTGCAGGAAAACGCGTGCAGCAGCAGGCGGCCGGGTGGAGGGACGGACTCGGAGGGGTGGTGTGCGTGGCTGCGGAGCCTGCCGAGCCCGGGACGTCAGGTGGGGCCGCGGGCTGGACGCCGGGGCAGAGCGGGTGCCGCGTTCTGGTCTGAAAGCCGTCTGCCGGAGAGTTCCCTGCTCCCTGGGGGACACTTGCCGCCAAGGCCTCTGACTGATGGCTCGAGCCTCATCCGCTTTACGGACGGCCATGTGCTTCACTCGGATTCTAGCCGTTTACACCCGCCTTCTTTCTCGCAGCAGCGTTTGCAGTCGATGACATTTGACTGCATTGTGGCATCGTGGCCTATCCGGTCGACGCGGACAACCACCCGTCTTTCTCCCCCTGTCTCTCTCTCCTTCTGTGACCCCCCGGACGCACACGTTGGAACACTTGACCGCATCCAACAGGTCCCCGAAACGCTGTCCATTTTCCTTCGTTCTTTTTTTTTCCCCCCGTTCCTCAATTCGATAATCGCAACTGACTTATCTTCAGGTCCTTTTCTGTTCACTCACATTCCATTCCTGCACTTTCAACTGCAGAATTCCCAGTTTCTTGCCTTAAAAAAACTTTTTTTAACATTTATTTTTAAAGAGAGAGAGAGAGACAGAGCATGAGTGGGGGAGGGACACACACACACACACACACACACACACACACACACACACACACAGAATCCGAAGCAGGTTCCAGGCTCCAAGCTGTCAGCACAGAGCCCGACGTGGGGCTCGAACTCACATACTATGAGATCATGACCTGAGCCGAAGTCGGATGCTCAACCGACTGAGCCCCCCAGGCGCCCCTGAAAGTAGATATTTTAAATAATATAACATGGTGACTCTGGAAATCAGTTCCCCAGATTTATTTTACTTTGTTTGTTGGCTGCAGCTTCTGCTTCCTGCTCAGTGACTTTCCTCAACTGGTGCTGTGGAGTCTAAGTTCTGTGTCGCATGAGGGCAGTGCTGTCTTTGTGCTGTGAGCTTGCTGCTAAGCTAGTGATGGGACAGAAAGTTCCTTAAAAGCCTTGATCCAGCAAGTCTCCCCCACGCTTCCCCAAAGGTTCTTCTGTCGGGTTGGGGCTCACTTCCCGTCGGCCTCCGCTTCCTGCCTCCACAGGCTTCAAGTTTAGCCAAAAGTGAGAAAATTGGACGTTCTAAGTTCTTTCCTGAGCCTGTGCCCAGACCCGCACGTGCACGTGGCCTTCTAGACCCTTAGGAACGTGGCCCAGCGTCGGTCGGCGTACCGTGGACATCTCATTCCCCAGACCTTGCTTTTCGAGTTTGTGGCCGGGCTCGTTTGCCGTCCCCGGTGTCATCATCTCAGGCAGCTGTCGTTGATTGCTTTTGACACAACCTGTGGGGAAAGGGCTTTTTCCCACTGGGTGAATTTTGAGTCCGGTCACACAGTGAGCTCCAGGAATGGGGCTTTTCTGGGGAGCTGCCGGACAAGGCCGGTGGTGACAGTGTCCTGGAGATGGGAGGACACCTGAGGAGACCCACACTCAGTCCGAGCCCTCTGATCCTGCCGGGTTGCCGGTTTTCAAGACTACCGTGGAGCTGGACCGAGAATGGAAACAAGGGAATGGAAATGACACACGGCTTGCTGCAGAGATTTAGCTGTTTTTCCGGAATAATCACTCCTTGGATTGTAACAAGCCCTGGATAATCTCCAGGGTTCTGACCGTGTTGGTTGTTGATCTGGAGCCTCCCCCGGCCCCGCTCCAATGTTCTTATTGCTGTTACAGGCGTTTTTGAAGGTCTGTCTTTGCTGTTCTAGAAGCCCTGCTTTGTTTTCCATCGGATGAGTGAATTCGCCCTCTTTTATCTTTTTCATTTGTCTGAGATTCCGATCTGTGAGAGACTGGGACTCCTTTGAATTTGTCATCTGCCCTTTCTCATTTTGGGGGGATTTTGACTGGAAGGTAAAGGCTCAGATCGCCATCTTAACTTGGTATCTGGCACCCCGTTTTCTAAAGTATGTTCTGGAATATCATCCTGGCTTCCTGGGGAAAATGCAGACATGTCTTTCTTTAAGAATTTGCTTAATTGTGAAACAGAACAAAAGACGCACAGAACACATTCACTGTGGTGAGTGGTCACAGAGCCTCCCTGTTTAGTCAGTGCCGGGGTCAGGAATCGGTGTCTCGCGGCAGCCCCCCGCAACCGTCGCATCCCGGGGGTTGTGCGCGGTGGCCCATGGTGGCCGCTCGCACGGCAGCTCTGCCTTCCTGTTCTGGTGAACTTGAGACGAGCAGAGCCATGAAGTTCCAGGTGCACCGCGGCTGGATTTCGTTCGCCTTCGCTGCTGTCCGTAAGCGGCTCTCGGGGGTGGTCTCGCCCCGTCCCCTGAACGTTGGGCGGCGCGCAGACACGGTGGTGGTCACCACTCTGAGGGGCGCTGCCGGCGTTGGTAGGTGGAGGCCGCGCGTGCTGCTGAGCGCCCTACAACGTGGAGGAAACCGGTCACGAGACTCCTAGGGCCACGGGTCAGCAGTACCGAGGTCGAGAAGCACTGCTTTATGTGTGGGCAATCTATTCTTTT